AATCCGCGTTGGCTATGCGACAGAACGGATTTCTGACCGCGCCATATATAACGGTGATTACACCGATTTCTCGACAATACGCCTCGCGAATATGTCGTCCGATAGATTTGACGCTGCCTAATGTTTAATGTCGCCGGTTTATTCATTGACTTCGAAAACGGTACGCGCACGGCCGCTTAAGCAGCGAAGCTTCCCGAAGTATGTAAATGCGGGATAATTGGCGCGACGTATCGTCATTATTAATGGCCCTTTTCCGCGCGGTGAGCCGATCGCGCACTGTTCATTCGGGGATTTACGTTCGTCCCCGGCATATATTTATTTTGCGCCATAAACAATCGCGCGTCCGCTCGTTGGTCGGCCGGCGAGTTCAATACATACGGACGGTATACGGATACGCGCGTACGCGACTAAATCGACGTTTAATAAGAACCGCATCAACGTTTCGGATTGAAATTGGAAACCGTGTTTTCTCGATGAAAATTTGATCGTGTCTCTCTCTCTTCTTCTCTTTTCCCGCGTCTTTGTGAAAATTTCAACGTAAATACGTTTCGTTATTTTCTCCTCTCGCTCGTAATCGTAACGCGCACATCTCTCGTCTTATTTATTCGAAATTCACTCCCACCTCGTTCTCCGCTCACGGTCGCACACAGCCGGGAATATAGAAATACGTATTTAACAGTACAAACGTTCATTATACGTTACATTTGCTATTTTAATTTAAAACAACACGTGAACGCTCCGCGAAGCGACGGTGCCCACCCCGCTTTAATATCCCGCCGCTCAGATTGGCGGACTAATCCCGTGTTTCCGCGATAGACAGTATTTTCTTAAGAGAGACTAAAGCCGGCGCCGCGCACGCGTGTTTTCCCTGGTCCGGGAAGAGAAATCGCGACCTTTCTTGTTTCTGTATTTTCCGAGCGAGCGTAAACTTATCTACATTATTCAAATGATCCCTCCGAGTTCTCGTTTTAGCCTCGTTCAATATTACTTGCAACTGGCACGACGGTGGCGGGGAGAGGCGAAGGTTGAAGGAGGGGACAACGGAATTCATCGTGTACCACGGAGGGGGAGGGGGGGATCAGCGTTGCGGCCGGATTAAACTACGCGCGCGGCCATGTCGGGAATGCGTTGATAACATTATGCGCATCTTTTTCCCTCATGAATGTCTCCGGGAGACGCGGACGGATGGAACGACTGGATTTATAGACGAGGCGAAAGATTCTCGCGTGAAAGAGCCCCGTACAAGACCGTCCCCCGTCTCCGTAATATTCATTTCTCCCGCCCCTCGCACGAGGGCGGAAAATCAAAGTCCCCACGGGGGCCGCCGGGGTCACAACATCCCCGCCGCCTACGTGACCGTCCCCCCCCCTTCTTCCCCCCAGCTTATTATCCCCCGCATTATACAAATGACCTCGCCGGATTCTCTCTCCCCGCGCGTCGGCGAGCGCGAATCGCGCGTCCGAATTCGCGCTCGCGCGGACCAGAAGCGATTAAATTCATACTCGCCGGGCGAAAGAGGAAACTATTCCGCAACTTCTCCGCTTTGCAGTTTCGCAACTGCGGATTAAGCGAGAAGGGGGAGAGTAGACGACGACGGCGGCGTCGGCGTCGGTGCTAAAGAAGGAGGCAACGGCCGGAGAAGAGATTCCGGGGGATGGCGCGAGCGACGAGATAACGCGGGCGATTTAAATTGTATTACCTAAGCCGGTCGCCGAACGAAATACACGCCGGTGACCTTCTCTCTCTCTCTCTCTCCGCAGTGTCGCGCGACGTTTCAGCCGCTGCGTATACGCAACGTCGCATTGAGAAGAGAGAGAGAGAGAGAGAGAGAGAGAGAGAGATCGTGTACGTAAATGCGCAGAGACAGAGAGAGTCATTTTCACCTTGGCCCGCGCGACGAGAAGAAGCAATTACAGCCGCGGGTATTCTTAGTTCTAACCCGTCTCCATTGTCAATTACCGCGAAAACCTTGAACCAGTAACACACCGGACGACGGGGAGATTTCACTGTCGCCCGTCCGGCCTCCACCGCCGTGCCTGGATGCCCTCGAAACCGCGCAATGTAGTTACTCCGGGAAAATGGCTTTCATTCGCGGCGAAATAATTGGGGTCACTACCGCACCGCGATGGACGGCGGAAATCGCGGCCGAAATCCCGAGAATCAAATTTTCCACCTTCGCTCCAATTTCAGCCCGCTTTTAATAAGTCAACAGACGAGCTCGTTCGATATTCAGCTCGACGCGCGGTACCGCGCACGAGAGCCAATACCGGTCCTCCTCTCCGAGAGGCTCCGAGCGGCGCGCAGCACGGCGCGGCGCGCGTCTCGTTCCGACGCGTCACGTGCACGCCGTCACCGCGAACCACTTCAAATCTGACACCGCATTGGCGCACGTACGCAGCCGGTTTAAGCGGGTATGTTTGCTCTGCCAGTGTTCCGCTAACGAACCTATCCAGCCACCCTCGCTCGAACTCGTCTCGCAAGCCCTTCGCAAGCCGGCTGACTCCTCGTCGCCGCCGTATCCAGCTGCGCGCTGTTTTTCGCCCTCGTGTCTCGTTTTCCCTCCCCCCCCCCC